CAAAACACTGGATGTCCTAATTTGCATAATCAAAAAACTAATCCCAGTGTTAACTGAGTCTCACATTGTCTGATTACTTAAAGTGCAATTAAATCTCTCGGTCTCATTTATTAAATTGTTCTGGTCAGTAACTGAAGCTTTTTTACAGTTCTAAGTCAGATACTGTATGTTGATCTGACTATGTGTGACATCTGAGTGTTTGTTTGACTTTTATTATTAGAAGATTAACCATGGGTTCGGAATAACATGAGGGTGAGTAAATGATGACTTCTGGGTGACCTATCCTTTTAAGGCTGCCAACTCTCACAGGTTATGAAATAAAATAAAATAGGGGTGTTATGTGGTTGTAAAGCAAGACAAAATGTTGCTTGGGCAGAGGAGAGAATTCAAGCAAAATAGTAAAAACAAGATGAAGTTTTTATCGAGATGAAAGATGGAGAAAACACCTTTTGTTATGTAAAGATCACAAGTTGAGATCTTTATTTTACAAACAGTTATTTTAAAAGATTAAGGATTTATGCATGGCCATGTTTAAATATTTATAACTTGAAACTAGTAAAATATGGGGTGCTAAACAAGAAAATGAAGTTGGGATCTTTATTTTTTATGGATGACCATATTTAAATACTGTGGGATTATGGAGTAAAGTGCAGGGGGAAAAACTAGGATGTGCTGCAACATCTGTGTCTGACATCAAAATGTATGTAAATCAAAAACACCAACGCTATAAGAACCATGTCCATCACTTCTATTATTATGGTCATAACATTCAAGTTAGAGAAGGAGACTGACTTCAGTTACCCATCCATTCAGACATAATTTTATCATAACAGGCTGTTGTACCAACCCTCCACGGACACCTTGGCGATTGAATCGCCATTGGCTAGTACATTTTTTAGTTTACTAGCCAGACTGATATACTAATATATATATATATATATATATATATAAGGTGCACAGTGTCATTCACACAAACACTAAACCCCATCATGGTGACACACATGATACTGAAATAAGACCTAAACCCTATTGAGCATCTGTGGGGCATCCTCAAATGGAAGGTGGAGGAGTGCAAGGTCTCTAACATCCACCAGCTCCGTGATGTCATCATGGAGGAGTGGAAGAGGACTCCAGTGGCAACCTGTCAAGCTCTGGTGAAGTCCATGCCCAAGAGAGTTAAGGCAGTGCTGGAAAATAATGGTGGCCACACAAAATATTGACACTTTGGGCCCAATTTGGACATTTTCATTTAGGGGTGTACTCCCATTTGTGGCCAACGGTTTAGACATTAATGGCTGTGTGTTGAGTTATTTTGAGGGGACAGCAAATTTACACTGTTATACAAGCTGTACACTCACTACTTTACATTGTAGCAAAGTGTCGTTTCTTCAGTGTTGTCACATGAAAAGATATAATAAAATATTTACAAAAATGTGAGGGGTGTACTCACTTCTGTGAGATACTGTATATATACTGTATAATACTGTATATGTTTTTAAAATGGCACAGCTTTTTAAATATCTGAAAGTACACTCTTAACATCAGTCAGTCAAGCATTATAGCACCAGCCAATGAGATTGTCGTTTGTTCATTAGTTTCGCCCACTACCGGAGAACCCGGCAGTTCTTAAAAGCTGAAAAAATCCAAAGGAACTCCGTTATTTTGACAAGAAAATACAACAAAGAATATCGTTTACATGTAGCACGTCAATTCTTCATGTATGTAAGACTCTCTCGCTCTCACCAAAGCAACGACGAGTCGTGCGCCATTACACTGGAGTTTACGGTTCGTCAAATACAGGTGCGCTGCGCATCCATTCCGATGAGCTGAAAAGTAGCACAGATTGCTTGATGGAGAGTGGAACTCTGAAGTGCTCAGTCAGAGAGTGTTCGGTGAGTGAAAATACATCTGTGCTAAACTTATACTCAGCCTCCAACTCACACATCGGCGAGTAAAATCTGAGAATTTATTAGCCATTGGCTAATATTAGACATCATTTAATCGCCCAGAGTGAAGATTTAGTCGCATATGCGAGTGATTTACTCGCAATGTAGAGGGTTGATTAACCCAATTTATTGAGACAAACAACAAATATTTTTGTTTTAACAGTCAAGCACACAATAAAAATTAAACATCTAATTCTAATGTTTTATATGCAGATTAAATAGGTCTTAAAGGGGTCATATGATGCTGCTAAAAAGAACATTATTTTGTGTATTTGGTGTAATGAAATGTGTTTATGCCAATGTAGAGGGTTGTGTACAGACAATCTGAGACTCACACGTGCTACTAAAAACGGCTGTCAATCTTAAACACTGACTGTGTGAACATTGCCACTGTGAGTGTGAAGGTGATATATTTAGGTACACAGTTTAGGGGCAAACATGACACGATCATTTTATTCTCCTTTCCCACTGAAAGCCTCCCATTGAGAGCTTACTCAAAGCATTACTCACTCACTTTCAGGACTGACAGCTACATTGGTCAAGTGCTGAATGCAGTTAAAATAAAAGAGACATTTTATGAAGCTGCGCACCTGTATATTGGGTCTTGCATCACCATTATCTTGCTTTCATCCCAGGTCCATTCTTTTTTCTGCAGGAAATGAAAGTAATAATTTCAGTACACCACAAGCCAGGCTTTAATATATGATAATATATCCTAGGCAGAAGCTTGCTCTATCAATTTTCTCATTTAAGTTCCAGCTCCAAATTAAACCAAGAGATAAAACACCTGTGTAAATCAATAATTTATGTTTAAATGAACAGCACAAGGCGACTTAAGATGCTGAAATTGCAGGGACTGACTGTACCCATTAACTTTTGAGCTAAGCATCTTGCTAAAGGACAAAATCATCCCAGAAACCACCTTAAGTGGTTTTGGCAAAGTGTCTTGCCAAAGGGTGAACACAGTACACAGGGTGAACACAGTAGAGCAGGGCGGTGATGTGTGTTATTCTCATCTACGGTGTCAATATGGCACGGTACCTATGTAACCTGTATGTACTAGAACAGAATCAGAACGCAGATTTTGGTGCCACTTAAATGCTTGAGCGATCGATTGAAATATTTGTTCTCTGGTTCTCCGAAACAGACGTAAGGATCACCGGCACCGCACGTGAAAAATTATTTCCTGACTGAGAAAATTCACGAACACAAGTCGGAAAGCTCTAATAATACAAATCCAACACATCTTTGTAGTAACGCAAGTGTCCATGCCGTTTTCACATTCCGACTTAAAAGCACAACTCGGGAAATGAGAGCACCCAAGGAGTGCGTGAATGCAGTAATTACATTTGCTCTGACTGCAGCAGGTAGATACCGTTAGCTAGCCAAGCTAAACATTCTAAAATTAAAATGCCTAAAGCTAAACTTCCCTTGAAATGACTTGCAATGAGAAGCGTTTCTAAACCTGTTGTCCAACAAAAGAGAACAACGTTTTTTACTCCACAATTGCTTCCTTTTGTGATCTGATGTGGCTTCTTGTCACAGAATGAGTCAGAAAATGTCGCATATGCGAGTGATTTACTCGCAATGTAGAGGGTTGTGTACAGACAATCTGAGACTCACACGTGCTACTAAAAACGGCTGTCAATCTTAAACACTGACTGTGTGAACATTGCCACTGTGAGTGTGAAGGTGATATATTTAGGTACACAGTTTAGGGGCAAACATGACACGATCATTTTATTCTCCTTTCCCACTGAAAGCCTCCCATTGAGAGCTTACTCAAAGCATTACTCACTCACTTTCAGGACTGACAGCTACATTGGTCAAGTGCTGAATGCAGTTAAAATAAAAGAGACATTTTATGAAGCTGCGCACCTGTATATTGGGTCTTGCATCACCATTATCTTGCTTTCATCCCAGGTCCATTCTTTTTTCTGCAGGAAATGAAAGTAATAATTTCAGTACACCACAAGCCAGGCTTTAATATATGATAATATATCCTAGGCAGAAGCTTGCTCTATGCTCTATCAAATTTAAGTTCCAGCTCCAAATTAAACCAAGAGATAAAACACCTGTGTAAATCAATAATTTATAATTTAATGAACAGCACAAGGCGACTTAAGATGCTGAAATTGCAGGGACTGACTGTACCCATTAACTTTTGAGCTAAGCATCTTGCTAAAGGACAAAATCATCCCAGAAACCACCTTAAGTGGTTTTGGCAAAGTGTCTTGCCAAAGGGTGAACACAGTACACAGGGTGAACACAGTAGAGCAGGGCGGTGATGTGTGTTATTCTCATCTACGGTGTCAATATGGCACGGTACCTATAGTAGAGCAGGTGTGTTATTCTCATCTACGGTGTCAATATGGCACGGTACCTATGTAACCTGTATGTACTGTATGTACTACAGAACGCAGATTTTGGTGCCACTTAAATGCTTGAGCGATCGATTGAAATATTTGTTCTCTGGTTCTCCATTACACTGGAGTTTACGGTTCGTCAAATACAGGTGCGCTGCGCATCCATTCCGATGAGCTGAAAAGTAGCACAGATTGCTTGATGGAGAGTGGAACTCTGAAGTGCTCAGTCAGAGAGTGTTCGGTGAGTGAAAATACATCTGTGCTAAACTTATACTCAGCCTCCAACTCACACATCGGCGAGTAAAATCTGAGAATTTATTAGCCATTGGCTAATATTAGACATCATTTAATCGCCCAGAGTGAAGATTTAGTCGCATATGCGAGTGATTTACTCGCAATGTAGAGGGTTGTGTACAGACAATCTGAGACTCACACGTGCTACTAAAAACGGCTGTCAATCTTAAACACTGACTGTGTGAACATTGCCACTGTGAGTGTGAAGGTGATATATTTAGGTACACAGTTTAGGGGCAAACATGACACGATCATTTTATTCTCCTTTCCCACTGAAAGCCTCCCATTGAGAGCTTACTCAAAGCATTACTCACTCACTTTCAGGACTGACAGCTACATTGGTCAAGTGCTGAATGCAGTTAAAATAAAAGAGACATTTTATGAAGCTGCGCACCTGTATATTGGGTCTTGCATCACCATTATCTTGCTTTCATCCCAGGTCCATTCTTTTTTCTGCAGGAAATGAAAGTAATAATTTCAGTACACCACAAGCCAGGCTTTAATATATGATAATATATCCTAGGCAGAAGCTTGCTCTATCAATTTTCTCATTTAAGTTCCAGCTCCAAATTAAACCAAGAGATAAAACACCTGTGTAAATCAATAATTTATGTTTAAATGAACAGCACAAGGCGACTTAAGATGCTGAAATTGCAGGGACTGACTGTACCCATTAACTTTTGAGCTAAGCATCTTGCTAAAGGACAAAATCATCCCAGAAACCACCTTAAGTGGTTTTGGCAAAGTGTCTTGCCAAAGGGTGAACACAGTACACAGGGTGAACACAGTAGAGCAGGGCGGTGATGTGTGTTATTCTCATCTACGGTGTCAATATGGCACGGTACCTATGTAACCTGTATGTACTAGAACAGAATCAGAACGCAGATTTTGGTGCCACTTAAATGCTTGAGCGATCGATTGAAATATTTGTTCTCTGGTTCTCCGAAACAGACGTAAGGATCACCGGCACCGCACGTGAAAAATTATTTCCTGACTGAGAAAATTCACGAACACAAGTCGGAAAGCTCTAATAATACAAATCCAACACATCTTTGTAGTAACGCAAGTGTCCATGCCGTTTTCACATTCCGACTTAAAAGCACAACTCGGGAAATGAGAGCACCCAAGGAGTGCGTGAATGCAGTAATTACATTTGCTCTGACTGCAGCAGGTAGATACCGTTAGCTAGCCAAGCTAAACATTCTAAAATTAAAATGCCTAAAGCTAAACTTCCCTTGAAATGACTTGCAATGAGAAGCGTTTCTAAACCTGTTGTCCAACAAAAGAGAACACTATAACCTGTTGTCCAACAAAAGAGAACAACGTTTTTTACTCCACAATTGCTTCCTTTTGTGATCTGATGTGGCTTCTTGTCACAGAATGAGTCAGAAAATATGTTCTATACTGTAAAAAACATATGGTAAAAAGGCTATTTCGATTAGCAATGGATTATAAATATATTTAATTATGATGAAAATACCATGGCTTGAATAACACAGATAAACTATAAATTGTTAGAGTCGAGTGTTTATTGTCTTTGTTTTATCATTCAAAATGTTTATATCTTCTGTTTACTCAGTTACAGCGATAGCAATGCCTGTCCATGGCTGCATCCGAAAACTCTAAAATGCTGCCTTAGGAGGCAGCATTCCAAGGCAGGAAGGCATCAAGGCACGTCCGAATCCAAATTCTGCTTCCATGAGGTGCCTTCGTGCAAAAACGCTGCCTGCAAAGTCATTGCCTCATACGGCAGCGAGGCAGCAAGTCAGCTGCCTAAGTTTTCGGATGCAGCCCATATTAGGGATTTCCTGAGTTCTATTCCTTCTGTGATGCATATGTGGAGTTTATGCACGAGGGCGCACTCTGGCATCCAGTATGAATGAAACCGACATTAAATGTGTTTATAGCACTCAGTAATGGCCAATACATCCTATTTTGGGGCCTTTTTTTCTTTTTTAAAGTATCGGTTCAGGCACCGTTTAGGCACCGGTACCGTTTTAAAAGTATTGATTTTGCACCTTTATCGGAAAATACCCAAACGATACCCAACCCTACTCTAGATATGTTATGTAACATGATTATATCGGAAGTTAACACTTACAATGAATCAATCCCTAATACAGCCCAATAACACAATTTATAGCACAGTATTTTTGTTCATAAAAAAAGGTTCTCTATAGTCTCAAACACAAGAAAATATTGATATAGAGTTCCTAGTGCACTTAATGTGCATCATCCTTTGTGCATTAAAAAAATGAACAAATAAATAAATAATTAATAAATAATTACTGAATGAATGAATATAATAACTGAATAAATATATCAAAATGAATGAATGAATGAATAAATTAATAAATCAAAATGAATGAATGAATGAATGAATGAATGAATAAATATTGTCTCACCTTTAAACTAACAAATTGAACACATTATAACTAACAAAACATACAAGTTTACCTTTTTCTTTTTCCGCAGTGCTACTTTGACTCCGTCCACGGACACAATGATGTTGACTTTCTTCTTTTTGATATTCTTCACTTTAAATTCATACTGTAAAGAGGAGAGGAAAGATAGAGATCATTATGGGAAGAAATATCAATACAGAGCAATTATTTTTCACCCTTCCAGGACACCCAAGGATACTTCTATTAATTAAATTCAATCCAAGACCCCATTTAAATAGAAATCATGCGGCCCATCCTCAGCAAACATCAATAACCTCACCCTTTTTTATTGGCATATATGCCCTTGCAGAGAACGAGCTCAAATGCCATTAACATTTCGACAAATGAAATGCAAGACTGGAACTTTTAAATGAGCCAAGCGCTTATCAACAGTGTGGAAATCAGAAATGGAACAGCAAAGCCTTTGAAGTGCATCTGGATAGAATTGAGTTCTCTAGTAAATGGGTTTCTCTATAGCTTCTCAGCTCTGAGTTAACTTTATGATGTATGCTGCACTCTTCTGCTATTCAGAGAGGCCTTAGCCTGCTTAGAGATGTATGGATGTGGGTGTCAGTACAAATGACTGTGAGCAAACACTCTTACACAAGTAAACAAGAGTCTCCACAGGGACAGCATGAAGAGCAGCATGTTCTCATTTTTCAGTCCTACTCATGTATACAAATTCATATGGACACACAATATTGTTAAAAAAGTAGACTAAGTTGGTTAAGGCCATTGGGGAAAAGTTTAATTAATAGTTTCATTAATACACATACTGTCAACAAAAAGCCAAACATTCTTCAAAGCAACATGCTGAAATTTTTACACCAAGAAAAGATAACCGAATAGACCTTCTAGCTGCTCTGCATCTTGTTTGTTCCCTAGCTAATGTTAAAAAATGATAAGATGCTGAGGAGAAAGTTTGCTTCTTATGGGTCTTCCTGTTTACAGAAAAAAGGGGATTCCATGACCCATTTTGGGTTGTTTAAACTATTAGACACAAAATGTTTAAACCAAGTTGCAAAATTCAGTGTAAATATAGTAGATCTAATATAAATCAAATACATGTAAACATCAAGACATTTGGAATAAATCATAAATATAAAAAATAAATATTAATAATAAAAAGAAAAGTCACTAAACATGCACTTACACAAAGCAGCAACTGAAATGTAAAATACCCCGTGATGTCCTTTTTTTTTTGTTGAGAACGCAAATAGAGTTTGAATCAGACTGAATCATTGTCTGATGCCAATTTGGTAGACATCGCCCAACCCTAATAGGAATCCACACATTCGGGAGGGTGAAAGATTTGCCCATGTAGATTTCACTCATGTTTGAGTTGGTCATGCAAATTTGTTGCTGAAAGCTGCTTGGTTTGAAAGTGTCTTCTGTGCTTCATATGTGGCTTCTCGACTGACAATGGACTATGGACCTTTTTTTGCCTGCAAAATATCACACATTAAGTGCTTTAATACTCCCAATCCTATTGCCACAGTCTTTAGAAAACTAAATCATTGTGTCAGTCACAATGTTGATTCATTAAATAAAATATAATTATATTGGCAACAAGATATTGATGATATTATAATTATTCAATATATCATGAAGCCACATAGTGGAAGAAGGAGAGAAATTATTAGGTTGTCAAGGTTACTAGATAGCATTTTCCCCCCTCTTACTTAATGATCTTTATTATACAATGAATGGCCAATCATCATTCAATATAATTGGATGCCCAGCACAGCAAAATATTTCACACAAAACTAAAAACAGTAATTAATAAACAAGTTGTCAAGGCCGCCACATGCACCTAGGTGTTAATACTAACCAGGTGATGGCACGCTTACCACTCTTTTCCATTTTCTCCCCCTCACTTAAGTAACGCCATCCTGTTTGTCTCATTTTAATTGAGTTTCTTTCAGCCACCTGGAGCCCATTTCTTGTCTCTCAGCAGGTGCTGAGTGAAATTTCATCTAGTATTGACACATTGGGGTCAAAGAAGATACAGACACTGCTGTCTGTAAGAGACGTATATTAAAGATTAAACCAAAAGATAAAACTATTTCACTAGACCCTGCCTAAAACAACTTTTGTGATTCAACCTTCCTTTTCAGTTCCATACCATACAAAAAGAAATGAAGAAATGTTTAATTCCGCAACATTTACTTGAAAATGATCGTGTGTACTAAATACTGAAGAAAACTCAATTTGCTCAAGATGCGCATTACAGGCATGGCAAAACTTTACACCGGTGTTATCAACAGAATGAAGTTGAGAGCTGCACACTCAAATTCAAACAATGAGGAGCATTGAGATTATCTTGAATTCCTCTCAGAGCTAAACAAGGTCACAGAAAATTTAAACAACCAAGAAAACGAACCGTGCTTTCAGAATGCTTTCACAGCAAAACCTGAATGTTTTACAGGCAAACTGAGAAAACAATCAATATCATACAAAATGGAAAATATAGCAGTGAGTCCTGTACTGAACCATCAATGAACCAAGAAAAAAAGGAATAAGCAAGAATACGAATCCTAAATCATTTGAGTTGTGCAATATAAGCACAGCACCACCAGTAGTCTGATTTATGAACATTCTTTTATTAAATTGTTCAACCGCACAAATTATGAATTTTTCACTGGAAGAACTCACTGAATTGACCTGATGTAGATGTGAGTAACTGTTGATGTAAGTGAAACTCTGACTTCACAAAATGAAGCAGTTTGTTGATATGACATGTAGTTAACCTCCTGGGGTCGAGGGTTCCGCCGGCGGCACCCCTTGCAGATTTGAATGATAACAGCGAAAAGAACTTAAAATGCTCCTTCATACGTGATCGTACATATAAGAGTAATACAGCATTTAAATCTGTAAAGGGTCTACTTTTATTTGTGTACACTCACAATATCAACAAAACATTGTGCTTTTGCAAAATAAAGAAAATAAACAGGGTGTCCTTTTAGCCGTCTCATTCTCTGCGCATATCTGTTTGAAACGCGTCACTAAAATTAACTGAAACTCAGCGAATATTTGAAACACACACGAGAGATATATCTATAGAAAGCTTGACATGTCTACTTTTAAACAAAGTATTTTCCAGGGCCCCAAAACACCCTCGGACCCCAGAGGGTTAAAAGATACACAATTGCAGATACAGACACACCTTTCCAGACGCTTGTTATTACTTTTTAAACATTGTTCTCTAAGGGATTATTCAGACAGGTTTGTAAATCAAATTCACTTACAAATTGGACATCACAACAGCTTGTGACCAATTTCTATTAGATCTCTATAGTGATATCTAACAAAACATTTTAGAGCAAAACCAGAAAGATTTTATATGACTTTTAGACCTGAAAAAAAAACAAAAACACAATTTCAATAATATATTTACAAGTTTTTCCATGTTTGTGGGAACACTGATATACTGTAAATATACTACTGTTCAAAAGTTAGGGGTCGGTAAGATTTTTTAATGTTTCTGAAAGAAGTCTCAGGCTCACCATGGCTGCATTTATTTGATCAAAAATGCAGTAAAACCGTAATATTGTTATGTATTATTACAGTTTAGTATAGTTGTTTTCTATGTGAATATATTTTAAAATCAGGTCAAAGCTGAATTTTCAGTAGCCATTATTCCAGTCTTCAGTGTCACATGATCCTTCAGAAATCATCCTAATATGCTAATTTTGTGCTCAAGAATGATCCCTTATTATTATCAATGTCACAATGTAAACAGTTGTGCCTCTTAATATCTTTGTCACTTTATCGGTTTATTACATCCTTGTTGGAAAAAAAATCTATTAATTTCTTAAAAATATATATGTCTTACCAACCCCAATTTTTTGAACAGCATAGTGTATATCTGGGAAAAACTAGTGTTGATCATGGAATGAATAGGTCAGATGACTGACTTCTTTAATGAATTGTCTCCAATTTCTCACTGAACTGCACGTCTGACTCGTGGAATCGGCTAGGCCAGTGTTTCTCAACCCTGGTCCTGGACAAAGTATTGCTCCTCAGACAAAAAAAGTGGTTCAAGTAGCCAATGTTCAGAATGGTTTATAGCTTGACTGCATAAAACCTTCCAACTTGGGACTACAATGTACACTCTTTACAAATAATATGGCAGGCACACTATTATACAGATACCATTGTATCCCTAAAGTCATGTTAATTCTGCTATAAAAATTAGGGGATCATAATTGCTATTTTCTATTATACACTTCATAGACAGCAATGATGTGATTCCTCTGCAGTGAGGTGGTAAAAATAATGAATTCTCGTGACAGCTACATGAATGTACACAGGCTGGGGCAATGAATTCCTTTATAACACTACACTACTAAATCTGACACATTCATTCATTCATTCTATCTTAACATGTAAGATTATGGGTTGATTATTGAACCACCCTGCGGGGTAGGGTGATCCATCATAATGACACCAAGCGGCAACCTCCCGCTCTCTCTCGTGAAGCCAACAAGGAAGTGACAAACTGTAGTTCATCAACTGGCCGCTAGAGGCTGGCTGCAAAAGGGAGTCAATCCCATAGACATGTCACGGACACTACGTCCATGTTTTTATACAGTCTATGAATGACACCCTCCATAATAGGGGGCACTTTATTTTTGTCTTGTCCCTAGATAACAATTTTTATACAGCAGACTTGATAGTCTGATCATGCATGTGGGTGAAACTGAAAATAATGCTGTATCAACTAATCACTAAAATTTGATCTTCAAGTCAATAAGGAGTTTCATAATCAATTAGTTTTTGCACTGTGCATGGGAAACGCATCTGGTGAAGGCCACCTGTTGACATTTCCGTTAATCTCAATGTGCAGATTGCTTTCATAAATCCATTTGTACATAAATTGTTGCAGTCAAATCAATACGACAATTTCCATAGAAATCTTCTTGTTTTTTTTTTTTTTTTTTAAATACAATAATTTACACAGAAATGTTCTGCTCGTGTTTCATGAAACAGCAAAAATCTACAGTGGCAGGAATTCCGTTTTACAGCATGTTCAGTTTGATCTGATTTGCAAAGAAAATGGCTTTTAGAAGTTGAATCTTTTAACGAACTGTTCAAAATGACTCC